TAAAGGATCAACAAAAATCTGGGTACCCAATTACCCTCCTTTGTGCCAGTTACTACTCAAAGAATACCACGACGTCCTATACGCTGGACACTTCGGTAGCAACAAGACGCTGGCCGGTATCGCAAAGCACTACTACTGGCCCTACTTGGCAGAAGATGTTCAGAAATTCGTCACCTCGTGTGATACATGTCAGCGGATGAAGAGCAGCAAGCAGAAGAAGGCAGGACTGCTACAGCCTCTTCCTGCCCGAGAACAACCATGGCAAGTGGTTAGCCTGGATTTCATCACCGGGTTACCACCTACCACCGGAGGACATGACGCAATCCTTGTCGTCATCGACAAGTTCTCCAAAATGGGACACTTCATCCCAACACACACGACAGTACGCACCGAAAACACAGCACAACTCTTCGTTCGCTACATCATCTCACAACATGGCATTCCAACCACACTCATCTCCGACCGAGACCCCAAGTTCACCAGCAAGTTCTGGAAGGAACTAATGTCTCTGCTCAGGACCAAACTCGCCATGTCATCCGCCTACCATCCGCAGACAGACGGACAGACCGAGCGCCTCAACCAGATTGTTATGCAACTCCTCCGAGCAGCCTGCAAGGACGAGATCTCCAAATGGGACTTGCACCAGCCCGTTTTAGAGTTTGCTTACAACAACGCTACACATGGCGCTACTGGACAGACACCGTTCTTCCTCTGCTATGGACGCCACCCACTCACACCACAGAAACCGACAACATCAGCAACAGTCCAACCGGCACACGACTTCATCACAACCATGCATCAGCTTTGGGATCGGACCCACAAGCGCCTCCTTGACATTCAGCAGCAACAGAAGCGCCAGGCCGATTGCCATCGCAACGACCATACCATCACCGTGGGAGACCAGGTGCTTCTCGACACCCGCAACCTTGACATCAGCCATCTCCCATCCAAACTTCGACCTCGCTTCTGCGGGCCTTTCCTCGTTGAAGCACAAGTCACTCCTGTTACCTTCCGCTTACGCCTACCAGCAACCTGGAAGATTCACAATGCCTTCCATGTCCAACTTCTGAAGCCCTATCGGGATCCCAACACGATCTTCGTCGGACGCCAACCGCCGCCGCCGCCGCCCGTCCTCGTTCAGAATGAACCCGAGTACGAGGTCGAGTCCGTGCTTGCACACCGCCATCGTCGGAATGGTACCGTGGAGCTTCTTATTCTTTGGAAGGGGTATGATCCTTCTGAGGACAGCTGGGTCCCTGAGCCCGACATGGGTAACGCCCGTCGTCCTCTGCATGACTACCTTGTCAAGCAGGGTGTTACTTCTACCACCCAGCTTTGAGGGGGGGGAGTGTGAGAGTACGACCCTATTACACCACTTGTCCCTTTCCTTATTTCCTTCTTATTTCATTTCTCTTTTTATCCCATCTCATTTGGTTTCCTATTCTCTATTTTCCATTATCCTTTGGTTTATCCTGCTATTATAATTATATCACCGACCAGGCTTGGGATGTACTGGCGCGCTATATCTAGCGTAATCCTGCCGTTATCCCTTAAGGCTAATAGCCTCGCGTGGCTATACGCAGGGTGATTCTATATTCTAGAAGGGTCTATTCCCTTTGGATAGGATAAACCTGGTTACCTGATGTACTCTGGAATTATAAAAGCACCTTGTACCAATCGATAGTGCAATCTTTCCTCGAGACCGATCCTGTGACAGTTATGAACGATGAGCACGTCGTTTATAGTGATGTGTGTCAGGGTGATGCGTTCTTGGAGGACGACTATTCCCTGGTGCTTGGCCACTAGCCTTTCGTTGTTGGCTACGGTAACTTAGGCTGCAGCGGGAGTTGGGACGGCATTGGAGATAAAGCGCGCCGATCCGACCATGTGCTGTCCGCAAGAACTGTCTAGGTACCAGGTGTTGTAGTTGTCGCGGTTGTTGCGGGCGATCTTCGCGATCCTCGGAGTTTGACTTGTGCATGAGATGGTCCCTTGGGAAGCTGTCCCAGTCTTGTCTGTCCCCTCCGAACGTCGTGTCGGTGATCTAGGGGGTCGGCTCCAGCAACAGAATGGGTAGATTCCATTCCAGCTTTTTCTCATCGATTGCGTAGTTGCCGTGCTCATTGTAGGGGTTGTTGTAGTCATGGGCCGTTATAGCCGGGGTGAAGTCTCCTTGACTTGGGCGTGGGTGTGGCACGCGGCGACGTCGGTTAGTGTGATGTGTGGGCCCCTGAGTTCCATCGCCATAAAATCTTGGCGATAGATAGGTTGACCATGTGAGCCTGGCTGAGTCGAACGAGGGTCCAATGGTGCAGGAGGGCGCGGGAATGGTCGCTAGTCCATGTGGGACGGGCGATTGGTCTAGCGCGGGTCCTGGGGGGAAGCGTCGATGGGTCTCCTCTGGTGGGAGTGACCCCATTTACTTCCATTTGGATTAGGCATATAGGATGGTCTTGCACTGCTTCCCGCTCGGTTTTGGCAGCGCTAAGTAGAGTGTCCGAAGGTTTTGCATGGGTTGCAAAAGTAGCGGCGACTGCGCGTGTCGCGGCGAGGCTCATTCGATTTCACGCGTATGCTTGCAGGTGGTTGCGTGTTGGAAGTGTCCAAGTTGAGGAAGCCAGGAGTGGAGTCCTTGTCTGCAGAGGTTGGTTGCGTTTTAGTGGTTTGGCGAGCGGTGCTCGAGCCGTTGATCTTGAGAGATTGAAGTCCATCTTCAAGAGTTGTCATTCGTTGGAGCATTTTTTTCGAGGAGTCCTGTAGGGACATATGTCATTGCTGCCGGATTCGGAGTGTTTGCAGGTGCTTCGGGAGGAGGGCTTCCTTGCCCCATGATCCTGAGCCTGAGGCCATTCTGTGGCGGGAGCGAGTCATTGGCGCTACGATATTTGAATTTGAAACTGATCAAGAGTGTCGTACGTAAAATCCTGATAGGCTATGTTTACCATGAAGCGATCGAATATAGTCCGTGGGATCTTCAGAATTGAACTGTAGTAATGCACTTTGCGTAAGCGATTGATTGGTCGATGAACCCAATCAGAGTAAATATAACATAACAGTGTTGATTGTAGCAAAGGGATACAGGGTTCATATAGTGTTACAAGAGAACGCGAAGGGTCTTGCCAAGTTGCACTTAACAGGGGTACATTCCATTTGAGGTTCTAGATCCGAATCGGGTAACTGTACACGATTCGGATAACTGCCTGTGCTGTACGGCGGGTATGCCATTAGGTCCACGACATTTTACTCCATGTAATACTCCAAGGTCCGGAATTCGATAAGATCGGCCACGATGTACTCCGTCTGTACGGTATACATCTGCTGTTGACTTCGCTAAAAAGCACAATAAAACATTGTGACCAATCACGACAGTCGCATAATGCCACCGACCATCGAGTCGCGCCACCCGAATTGGGTGCGATCCCAGCATGCGAGTGTCGCCAACCAACCCGCGAGTGCAAGCTCGGAAATTTCTCGTGAACAGTGCTTGGAATTGCCCGGCCAATACGCGCTTGCCAGGGCGATCTGACGTAATCACGACGGACCGGGGGGCGACAGCCAGCTGGTACGCCCGTCCACCTGGCACTTTTGTATGCGCGCCGACCTGGGCATGAATCCGCACCCCCTTTTCATCCATTCTGTCTTATTATTTCGGTCCTATTCTAATCCTCGTGTGAAAAACATTCGAGGCGTTTTCCATATTTTATAACCAATGACGTAAATATTCAGGCTTTCCGCGTGACACCAACAGGTCCGTCCCGAATACGAAAACACGACCCACGGTCCCTCAATCACCATTAACCAATGCAGATTTCGAAAATGTTTTTCTTAAATGGTTTTTTTTCACCTTCGTGAAAGTGTGTGATTGGTTAACGAAACCGCTCAGGCGAGTCGTCATAATTTCGTTACGTTAAGCCCTTTTCGTGAGACCACGAAAAGGGTTTTCAAATTATATGATTTGCGCGTTTTGAGTCTGCGCTGCTTGCGGAAGGTCGAGAACGAGGTGTTACTTCTATTGTCCACGGTAATTCTGACCAGACGACAAATTTGCTGAATGTTTTTTAAGAAGCCACATGAGCCCTCACATGATACGCGGCGAAGTCGCTCGCTGGTAACCTGGCCCAAGGGCCGATACACCAAGGCACCCATTGTGAACAGAAAGAGTAAAACGGCCTACGCCACCCCACCAAAAGCCGTACGTGCTACTCGATAATCCATTTTGCCCGTAGTGAACCGCTCTTATTCGTCGTAGTCCATATTTGCGAGTCGCGGATTTGGAGCATAGAGCATACCCCCTGTATTACATGGTCAGTTATGTGTCCTTGCTGTCGTGTCGGACCCTTGTACTTTTGTCGGTTCGACTTTCGGTCAATGGTCAATGACCGTTGCACTTCGTGCATCGCGTTATAAGCTTGGACTCGACAAGGGTTACGACTCGAGTGTCACTTTCAGGAATGTAACAGATTCCTTATCGTAACACACCAGACCCCAAAACCAAGAACCCCACCACAGCACCCTGAAAGCTGCCCCATCCCCCCCTCCCCTTCAGTTCACACCCGCCCATCCCTCGCGCTTTATTGTGACGTTACATCTGAACCATGCACCCTCAAACAGCAAATTTGCAAAATAACAAAACGTAACCTTTTTGCTATAAGGTGCTTTTTTCAGCAACTGCGTTCGTCAATGACAAATCCCCTGGTTTTGCTATTTCCTCAGTTCTGACCTCGAAATTAGGGCGTGTCCCAAGAGTACGCCCCGAATACATCGTATGTGGTGATTTTGGCGACAGTTGCGACTTTGCACTCGGTTACCTGATAATTTTGGCACCAACACCAAATTGCTCGAGGTGCCTGCTGGTCACGGAAAATTCGTTCGCTAGCATAACTGTACGAGGTTCGCGTTTTCGCTGTCTCGCCCAGTATTCTCACATTTGCAAGTTGGAACACTCTGTTCGGACAGTGGGTTCCACCTCAAAAGTTAGAACATATGCCAGTCTGAAGATGGGAGAAGTCGTGCTCGCAATTCTGGTGTTCGGAACTGAGGCGACGAGACCGTAGGCTCCAGGCCCGTAGCCATCCACGCCAGCTACCTCTGTTGTCCTGTCAGTATGTCATAGTCAACCGGTTGACTTAGAAGCGTGTTCTAACGTATCTGCAGCAACAGTCTCGGCCCCACACCAGCTGCGCATGCAGGAGCAAGAGCAATGCCGCTCAACCCATTGCTAAACGCCGCCGATTCCTCGGCTGCTTCGCCTTGACCCCGCTTCCTACCCTCGCCGCTCTTCGTCCTTCGCCCCTGCAAACAATTCCGCCGCCCCTCCCACCGCGCGCGCCCAACCCATCCTGCCCTCGCTCAGCCGTCCAGTCCCGCGCTGCCGCCGTGTCAATACGAGTGGGACTGCCACTAGCGATACACGACCCACAAGTACGCTATCATCCCAATCCGCCTGAGCTCACAGCCGTTGCTGACCGCGACCTGGCTCGAAGACTACGACTTGCCATAACCCTTTCCTGACGTCAACGCGCGTTAGCACTCCGCACTCTCGAGAGACTCCGCCATCTGGTCTCGTCCTACTCGCGCGTCGCCCCTCCCCCCGCTGGGGCCCTGCCCAGCTCCGCCTGTGCGTCTCGCTCCTCCCTTCCCATAGCCGTTCTTCATCTTACCTCTTTTCTCCCATTCTTCCCATTCTCTCTCCCACCACCCTCTCCCACCCTCCTCTCTGCTCACCATCCCCGGTCTCTGAAATGGATGGTGGGCCTTCAGTCGGATCGCGTGCCTCCAGCTGTGGCGCCGCTCGTCGCCCACGGCATGCACTCGTTCCAGCCGTCATCGTCCCCCGTTTCCTTCTCCTCGCTCCTCGCTCCTCGCTCCTCGCTCCTCGCTCCTCGCTCCTCGCTCCTCGCTCCTCGCTCCTCGCTCCTCGCTCCTCGCTCCTCGCTCCTCGCTCCTCGCTCCTCGCTCCTCGCTCCTCGCTCCTCGCTCCTCGCTCCTCCACAGCTTCCTGCCAGCCGCACGAGACGGCGGGTGAGCGGGGGCGATGAGGAGCGACGAGGACATACATGGCGGTATGTGGTGCATGGGAGGATGCGGTATGTGGTGCATGGGAGGATGCGATATGTGGCGCATGGGAGGATGCGGTATGTGGTGCATGGGAGGATGCGATATGTGGCGCATGGGAGGATGCGGTATGTGGTGCATGGGAGGATACGGTATGTAGTGCATGGGAGGATGCGGTATGTGGCGCATGGGAGGATGCGATATGTGGCGCATGGGAGGATGCGGTATGTGGTGCATGGGAGGATACGGTATGTAGTGCATGGGAGGATGCGGTATGTGGCGCATGGGAGGATGCGGTATGTGGTGCATGGGAGGATGCGGTATGTGGCGCATGGGAGGATGCGGTATGTGGCGCATGGGAGGATGCGGTATGTGGCGCATGGGAGGATGTGGTATGTGGCGCATGGGAGGATGTGGTATGTGGCGCATGGGAGGATGCGGTATGTGGCGCATGGGAGGATGCGGTATGTCACATAAAAAGGAATCTCCGCGCGACTCGTAGTGCAGACCAATGATGTATCCTCGCGCTAGGATCATTTTTGGGCGTATTTGAAAGAGTTTGACGACGCTTCCCGGGCGGATGTGGGGAAGTTCTGGGTGGTGCGCTGACCTAGAAATGTCCCTTGATTGTCCACTTTCTGAGCGCCAAGCAGCCAACGTTACACCGTGGTTGTGTCCCAATGTCGCATTCAGGACGACAATTGAATGTGTCCCAAGCGTCTCCTTTCAGATAGTTTTAGGACCCACGTTTTGGTGACGGCGGTACATGGGAGGATGAGGTACGTGGTGGTGCGTGGGAGGATGAGGTACGTGGTAGTACATGGGATGTGCTGCGTGGCTTGTGATGCAACATGGCAGCATGGCTATCCTTTGGGCGTAGGCATTGCATGACAATTCATGCACCTGCTGCCCATTTTCCAGCTATCCATCCATCCATCCGTCCGTCCATCCATGCATCCATCCATCCATCCATGCATCCATCCATCCATCCATCCATCCATCCATCCATCCATCCATCCATCCATCCATCCATCCATCCATCCATCCATCCATCCATCCATCCATCCATCCATCCATCCATCCATCCATCCATCCATCCATCCATCCATCCATCCATCCATCCATCCATCCATCCATCCATCCATCCATCCATCCATCCATCCATCCATCCATCCATCCATCCATCCATCCATCCATCCATCCATCCATGCATCCATGCATGCATCTGTCCACACATCCAACGATCCGTTCTCACTCATCTTTCCACACATCCCTCTCAACTCATCATTCCTCTTTCATCCTTGCCGCCTGTCATTCCTTTCTGCCATTCCTTTCTGCCATTCTCTCCCACCGCACCCCAGCAGCGCCCTCCCACCCCGCCACCTTCACCCCCTCCATGCCCGCCTGGCGCCAGGCGCACATGTGGGTGCTGGGCGTGGTGCTGGCGGGCGTGGTGTACGTGCACTGCCACGCCATGCACCGCCCCCTGCTCGCCCTCGCTGCCGACGTACTGCTCGTGCTCGCCACTGCCTCCGCCCTCCTCTCGCTGCTCTCCCGCGCCCTCAACCTCCCGTGAGTCGATGTCCTCTCAACCCCCCGTGAGTCGATGTCCTCTCAACCCCCCGTGAGTCGATGTCCTCTCAACCCCCCGTGAGTCGATGTCCTCTCAACCCCCCGTGAGTCGATGTCCTCTCAACCCCCCGTGAGTCGATGTCCTCTCAACCCCCCGTGAGTCGATGTCCTCTCAACCCCCCGTGATTCGATGTCCTCTCAACCCCCCGTGAGTCGATGTCCTCTCAACCCCCCGTGAGTCGATGTCCTCTCAACCCCCCGTGAGTCGATGTCCTCTCAACCCCCCGTGAGTCGATGTCCTCTCAACCCCCCGTGAGTCGATGTCCTCTCAACCCCCCGTGAGTCGATGTCCTCTCAAGTGATGTCCTCTCAACCCCCCGTGATTCGATGTCCTCTCAACCCCCCGTGAGTCGATGTCCTCTCAACCCCCCGTGAGTCGATGTCCTCTCAACCCCCCGTGAGTCGATGTCCTCTCAACCCCCCGTGAGTCGATGTCCTCTCAACCCCCCGTGAGTAGATGTCCTCTCAACCCCCCATGAGTCGATGTCCTCTCGAACCCCCCGTGAGTCGATGTCCTCTCAACCCCTCTGTGAGTCGATGTCCTCTCAACCCCCCGTGAGTCGATGTCCTCTCAACCCCTCGGTGAGTCGATGTCCTCTCAACCCCCCGTGAGTCGATGTCCTCTCAACCCCCCGTGAGTCGATGTCCTCTTAACCCCCCGTGAGTCGATGTCCGCTCAACCCCCCGTGAGTCGATGTCCTCTCAACCCCCCGTGAGTCGATGTCCGCTCAACCCCCCGTGAGTCGATGTCCTCTCAACCCCCCGTGAGTCGATGTCCTCTCAACCCCCCGTGAGTCGATGTCCTCTCAACCCCTCTGTGAGTCGATGTCCTCTCAACCCCCCGTGAGTCGATGTCCTCTCAACCCCCCGTGAGTCGATGTCCTCTCAACCCCCCGTGAGTCGATGTCCTCTCAAACCCCCGGTGAGTCGATGTCCTCTCAACCCCCCGTGAGTCGATGTCCTCTCAACCCCCCGTGAGTCGATGTCCTCTCAACCCCCCGTGAGTCGATGTCCTCTCAACCCCCCGTGAGTCGATGTCCGCTCAAACCCCCGTGAGTCGATGTCCTCTCAACCCCCCGTGAGTCGATGTCCTCTCAACCCCCCGTGAGTCGATGTCCTCTCAACCCCCCGTGAGTCGATGTCCTCTCAACCCCCCGTGAGTCGATGTCCTCTCAACCCCCCGTGAGTCGATGTCCTCTCAAACCCCCGGTGAGTCGATGTCCTCTCAACCCCCCGTGAGTCGATGTCCTCTCAACCCCCCGTGAGTCGATGTCCTCTCAACCCCCCGTGAGTCGATGTCCTCTCAACCCCCCGTGATTCGATGTCCTCTCAACCCCCCGTGAGTCGATGTCCTCTCAACCCCCCGTGAGTCGATGTCCTCTCAACCCCCCGTGAGTCGATGTCCTCTCAACCCCCCGTGAGTCGATGTCCTCTCAACCCCCCGTGAGTAGATGTCCTCTCAACCCCCCATGAGTCGATGTCCTCTCGAACCCCCCGTGAGTCGATGTCCTCTCAACCCCTCTGTGAGTCGATGTCCTCTCAACCCCCCGTGAGTCGATGTCCTCTCAACCCCTCGGTGAGTCGATGTCCTCTCAACCCCCCGTGAGTCGATGTCCTCTCAACCCCCCGTGAGTCGATGTCCTCTTAACCCCCCGTGAGTCGATGTCCGCTCAACCCCCCGTGAGTCGATGTCCTCTCAACCCCCCGTGAGTCGATGTCCGCTCAACCCCCCGTGAGTCGATGTCCTCTCAACCCCCCGTGAGTCGATGTCCTCTCAACCCCCCGTGAGTCGATGTCCTCTCAACCCCTCTGTGAGTCGATGTCCTCTCAACCCCCCGTGAGTCGATGTCCTCTCAACCCCCCGTGAGTCGATGTCCTCTCAACCCCCCGTGAGTCGATGTCCTCTCAAACCCCCGGTGAGTCGATGTCCTCTCAACCCCCCGTGAGTCGATGTCCTCTCAACCCCCCGTGAGTCGATGTCCTCTCAACCCCCCGTGAGTCGATGTCCTCTCAACCCCCCGTGAGTCGATGTCCGCTCAAACCCCCGTGAGTCGATGTCCTCTCAACCCCCCGTGAGTCGATGTCCTCTCAACCCCCCGTGAGTCGATGTCCTCTCAACCCCCGTGAGTCGATGTCCTCTCAACCCCCCGTGAGTCGATGTCCTCTCAACCCCCCGTGAGTCGATGTCCTCTCAAACCCCCGGTGAGTCGATGTCCTCTCAACCCCCCGTGAGTCGATGTCCTCTCAACCCCCCATGAGTCGATGTCCTCTCAACCCCCCGTGAGTCGATGTCCTCTCAACCCCCCGTGAGTCGATGTCCGCTCAACCCCCCGTGAGTCGATGTCCTCTCAACCCCCCGTGAGTCGATGTCCTCTCAACCCCCCGTGATTCGATGTCCTCTCAACCCCCCGTGAGTCGATGTCCTCTCAACCCCCCGTGAGTTGATGTCCTCTCAACCCCCCGTGAGTCGATGTCCTCTCAACCCCCCGTGAGTCGATGTCCTCTCAACCCCCCGTGAGTAGATGTCCTCTCAACCCCCCATGAGTCGATGTCCTCTCGAACCCCCCGTGAGTCGATGTCCTCTCAACCCCTCTGTGAGTCGATGTCCTCTCAACCCCCCGTGAGTCGATGTCCTCTCAACCCCTCGGTGAGTCGATGTCCTCTCAACCCCCCGTGAGTCGATGTCCTCTCAACCCCCCGTGAGTCGATGTCCTCTTAACCCCCCGTGAGTCGATGTCCGCTCAACCCCCCGTGAGTCGATGTCCTCTCAACCCCCCGTGAGTCGATGTCCGCTCAACCCCCCGTGAGTCGATGTCCTCTCAACCCCCCGTGAGTCGATGTCCTCTCAACCCCCCGTGAGTCGATGTCCTCTCAACCCCTCTGTGAGTCGATGTCCTCTCAACCCCCCGTGAGTCGATGTCCTCTCAACCCCCCGTGAGTCGATGTCCTCTCAACCCCCCGTGAGTCGATGTCCTCTCAAACCCCCGGTGAGTCGATGTCCTCTCAACCCCCCGTGAGTCGATGTCCTCTCAACCCCCCGTGAGTCGATGTCCTCTCAACCCCCCGTGAGTCGATGTCCTCTCAACCCCCCGTGAGTCGATGTCTGCTCAAACCCCCGTGAGTCGATGTCCTCTCAACCCCCCGTGAGTCGATGTCCTCTCAACCCCCCGTGAGTCGATGTCCTCTCAACCCCCGTGAGTCGATGTCCTCTCAACCCCCCGTGAGTCGATGTCCTCTCAACCCCCCGTGAGTCGATGTCCTCTCAACCCCCGTGAGTCGATGTCCTCTCAACCCCCGTGACCCGTGAGTCGATGTCCTCTCAACCCCCCGTGAGTCGATGTCCTCTCAACCCCCCGTGAGTCGATGTCCTCTCAACCCCCCGTGAGTCGATGTCCTCTCAACCCCCCCCCCCCCCCCGTGAGTCGATGTCCTCTCAACCCCCCGTGAGTCGATGTCCTCTCAACCCCCCGTGAGTCGATGTCCTCTCAACCCCCCGTGAGTCGATGTCCTCTCAACCCCCCGTGAGTCGATGTCCTCTCAACCCCCCGTGAGTCGATGTCCTCTCAACCCCCGTGAGTCGATGTCCTCTCAACCCCCCGTGAGTCGATGTCCTCTCAACCCCCCGTGAGTCGATGTCCTCTCAACCCCCGTGAGTCGATGTCCTCTCAACCCCCCGTGAGTCGATGTCCTCTCAACCCCCCGTGAGTCGATGTCCTCTCAACCCCCCGTGAGTCGATGTCCGCTCAACCCCCCGTGAGTCGATGTCCTCTCAACCCCCCGTGAGTCGATGTCCTCTCAACCCCCCGTGATCGATGTCCTCTCAACCCCCGTGAGTCGATGTCCTCTCAACCCCCCGTGAGTCGATGTCCTCTCAACCCCCGTGAGTCGATGTCCTCTCAACCCCCCGTGAGTCGATGTCCTCTCAACCCCCCGTGAGTCGATGTCCTCTCAACCCCCCGTGAGTCGATGTCCTCTCAACCCCCCGTGAGTCGATGTCCTCTCAACCCCCCGTGAGTCGATGTCCTCTCAACCCCCCGTGAGTCGATGTCCTCTCAACCCCCCGTGAGTCGATGTCCTCTCAACCCCCGTGAGTCGATGTCCTCTCAACCCCCCGTGAGTCGATGTCCTCTCAACCCCCCGTGAGTCGATGTCCTCTCAACCCCCCGTGAGTCGATGTCCTCTCAACCCCCCGTGAGTCGATGTCCTCTCAACCCCCCGTGAGTCGATGTCCTCTCAACCCCCCGTGAGTCGATGTCCTCTCAACCCCCCGTGAGTCGATGTCCTCTCAACCCCCCGTGAGTCGATGTCCTCTCAACCCCCCGTGAGTCGATGTCCTCTCAACCCCCCGTGAGTCGATGTCCTCTCAACCCCCGTGAGTCGATGTCCTCTCAACCCCCCGTGAGTCGATGTCCTCTCAACCCCCCGTGAGTCGATGTCCTCTCAACCCCCCGTGAGTCGATGTCCTCTCAACCCCCCGTGAGTCGATGTCCTCTCAACCCCCCGTGAGTCGATGTCCTCTCAACCCCCCGTGAGTCGATGTCCTCTCAACCCCCCGTGAGTCGATGTCCTCTCAACCCCCCGTGAGTCGATGTCCTCTCAACCCCCCGTGAGTCGATGTCCTCTCAACCCCCCGTGAGTCGATGTCCTCTCAACCCCCCGTGAGTCGATGTCCTCTCAACCCCCCGTGAGTCGATGTCCTCTCAACCCCCCGTGAGTCGATGTCCTCTCAACCCCCCGTGAGTCGATGTCCTCTCAACCCCCCGTGAGTCGATGTCCTCTCAACCCCCCGTGAGTCGATGTCCTCTCAACCCCCCGTGAGTCGATGTCCTCTCAACCCCCCGTGAGTCGATGTCCTCTCAACCCCCCGTGAGTCGATGTCCTCTCAACCCCCCGTGAGTCGATGTCCTCTCAACCCCCCGTGAGTCGATGTCCTCTCAACCCCCCGTGAGTCGATGTCCTCTCAACCCCCCGTGAGTCGATGTCCTCTCAACCCCCCGTGAGTCGATGTCCTCTCAACCCCCCGTGAGTCGATGTCCTCTCAACCCCCCGTGAGTCGATGTCCTCTCAACCCCCCGTGAGTCGATGTCCTCTCAACCCCCCGTGAGTCGATGTCCGCTCAACCCCCCGTGAGTCGATGTCCTCTCAACCCCCCGTGAGTCGATGTCCTCTCAAACCCCCCGTGAGTCGATGTCCTCTCAACCCCTCTGTGAGTCGATGTCCTCTCAACCCCCCGTGAGTCGATGTCCTCTCAACCCCCCGTGAGTCGATGTCCTCTCAACCCCCCGTGAGTCGATGTCCTCTCAACCCCCCGTGAGTCGATGTCCTCTCAGCCCGCTGGGAGTTGTTGTCTTCCCTCCATCCCACCCACTCTCCCCTCCCAGTCCGCTGCTCTGTCCCCCTCATCCCTAGCAGGTGTCGGAGGCAGCAGCGCAGGCGGCAGTGGCAGCAGGGGTACTGGTGCAGCATTCAGAGGCTAGACTTTTTGACTGTTTGTGCCCTTCCACTCTCTCCGCCCCTCCTGTTGTCCGCCCAGCCCGCTGCTGCACCCCTCGCGCCCCTGGCAGGTGTCGGAGGCGGCAGCGGAGGCGGCAGTGGCAGCGGGGGCCAACGTGGTGGGGGCGGCAGAGGGCGTTCTGCGCGTGGCGGCCAGTGGCTCCGACGTGCGCCTCTTTGTCAAGGTGGGCCGCGCCGCGCGCGCTGCACGGGTGACAGCAGCGCATGCCTGGGCTTGGGCAGTAGGGTGAGCAGAGGAGGTGCACGTGTGGAGCACTCCCTGCATCACAACTGATGCTCCTCCGCCACCCCTCGCTAGTGCTGCCTCCATGCCTAACCTCTCATCCTTTTGTGGCGCTTGCATTCGCCTTTGCCAAAAGCTTGGAGTGCACAGCTGTGACCAAGATAAGCCCCTTAACAATCACGACTGCTGCTGCTCACGCTCTTGTAAGGCTGGTAGAATTATCAGAGAGGCGCGACGAGAGAGGAGCGATCGGAAATGGAGCGATCAATGAGGAGCGAGAGACGGGCAGTGCGGCCTTGGACTCAGTCACAACGGTCAAGTGCGAGCATGCCACCTGGGGTGTAGCAGCATTTTCGGTTATGAAGGATGAGCGTGCATGTAGACTTGAAGGAAGAGCACGCATGGGGGTGTTGAAACGGCTCATTTTTGGGGTGTCAGCAGGAAGCCAGCCTGCACACCCTCACTTGCTTTCCCCGCTCATTGTTTCCGTTTTTGCTATCCTTGTTGCAGCCAGTCAACTGTGTGTCTCTCTTTCCCTCGCAGGTGATTCTCTTCCTCTACGCCACGGCTGCTGTCGGCCGGACTGTCTCCCTCGCCACTGTTGTCTTCATCTGTGAGCGCCCTCTTCCCTCTCCCCCCTCCTCTGCGCATCGCTTGTTTCTCTCAAGCGGTCCTTCCTGTCTCTTTCTCTCTGTCTTTCCCTACTCCCAACCTGTCTCTCCCTCTCACTTGCCATTCCCCTCAATCCTCCCCCCCCCCCAAACCCCCCTCCCCCATCTACTCCTCTATGCCCACCTTTATTCTCCCACCCACCCCTCCCCCCAAAACCCTTTCCGCCTGTCTTGGGTTTCTCCAATCGTCTGTCCCATTTACTTAAATCTCCCGGATAAAGGACCCGCCGGTAAGAGTGTCCATGGATCTTTTATCCAGATCTGAAACAGCTATTTTGGCAGTCCTTGTGAGGACCTGCGTTTTGGCATTTAATATTTTAAGACTCACCAGGTTTTTTTTCCTCTATAATTTTACCAAGGATTCCTGCCTAACGAGACCCTCGCACTGCGCGTGTGGGTCAAGGCAGTCAAGATTCCATCGCGACACATCAGCCTCTGTCGAAAATGATATGCGTGGCTCTAAAATGTGACGAAAGGGTCGGGATCTTCCGTGGTACAATTTTAATTCCCTACGTAGAATGCATCTACATTCATTACACAAGACAATACTGAGAAAAATAGTTGCACAAGGGCCTTAATAATATCCATCCGCGTTAATGTCCACTTTGGCATTATTCTACGGAATTTCTAGAAAGTCCATGGGGTCATGTATCCGGGAAATTATGGTACCAATTAAACATGCTGCTTTCAATTCTCCGGTGTTTTTCTTATTTCGTATTTTCTTCAATGGCAGGTGTTGTCAGTGGTTTCACAGTCTCCCTTCTCCTTTCCCTCGCATCCACATTGTCTGGGTTGTTCAACACTCTCGGCTCTTCACGGAAGCACATGACTGCTACATGACTTCTTTTTCTTCATCGGTTTTGCATGTTCAAATCTGAACTTTCATGCACAGCCCAATCAAACGCCGTGAAAGACAGTCAGGTACGGTGGAAAGTGTTTACAACAATCTACGCCTACACTCTACCTTCGCTGTTGTGTCTTCTCAGCTCGAGCTATCGTGAAATGAGCTTCGTTAGCTGAGATGCGAACAAATGAACTCAGAGTTCTGGGCGTAACGTAATCTCTCGGATAAAGGACCCACCGGCAAGAGAGTCCATGGGTCTTTTATCCGGATCTGAAGACAGTTATTTTCGCAGTCCTCTTGAGGACCCACTTTTTGGCATTGATCTTTTTAACACCCACCATGTTTGTATCGCACGTATAGTTTTACAGTGGAGCTTCTCGCTAACGAGGTCCTCGCATTGTGCGCATGGGTCATGGCAGTCAAGATGCCATCACCAGGCCCCCAAATTGCAGACTGTTTACTCTGATTCAGCTTTTTTTCAGAGTTTTTTTGGGGGTGTACTCTGATTGCAAATACTTCTTTTTGTACCGTACTATGATTTTTCAGAGAACCTTTTTGTACCTACACTGTTTTTTCAGACATTTTTTACTAGTGTACTCTGATGCCTCAACCATATATGAGGGGTTGACTATGATTTTGTGTAATACCATGTTCCCCCGTATATAACACCCTAGGGTATAGTCAAAATTTCATTAAAAAAAACGTATGGGTGTTAACAGTAGGCTGGAAAAATATATAGCCCATGTCTTATGTAAAATGAAAAAATAATTTGGGTTGTAACAGGCACTTTGAGGCCAGACTTCACAAAGCAACTGCTCATGAGGAATCTGTCAAATACATTTGTGTGTGATGTTGTAGACCATATAGGGTTGTGCCCTAGAGAGTACAGCCCCCTAGGTTATAATGCCTTGTACTCTGACATTCTAATCATTCTTTCAGTTTGTTATGGAATCATGAGTAGGTTAGGTTCCCTTCGCCCACCAGCGCTTCCGCCGTAGGTCCTAACCGTCTCGCCTACCCCGTCCCCTAGCGGCTCCGCGGCCTTGTCTCCTAGCGGCCCCTCGGCCCCGTCGACCAGCGGCCTCGCGGCCCCGTCCCCTAGCGGCCCCGCGGCCCCGTTCCCTAGCGGCCCCTCGGCCCCGTCGACCAGCGGCCCCGCGGCCCCGTCCCCTAGCGGCCCCTCGGCCCCGTCAACCAGCGGCCCCGCGGCCCCGTCCCCTAGCGGCCCCTTGGACCCGTCGACCAGCAGCCCCGCGGCCCCGTCTCCTAGCGGCCCTGCGGCCCCGTCCCCTAGCGGCCCCTCGGCCCCGTCGACCAGCAGCCCCGCGGCCCCGTTCCCTAGCGGCCCCGCGGCCCCGTCCCCGTAGCCGGCCCATTCCCCTAGCCGGCCCCGTCCTGCAGCCGGCCCCGTCCCGAAGCCGACCCCGTCGCGTAGCTGACCACGCCGAGCCGACTCCGCCAGGTAGCTGGCCCCGTCACCTAGCCGACCCTGTCGCCGCGTCGGCCCCGTCGCCCAGCCGGGCTCGCCTTCCAGCCGGCCCGCGCTGACCCCGCACCGAACTGCACCGCCCTGCACTGCACTACACCGCACTGCACCGCCTTGCACCGCATTGCACCGCACTGTACCGCACTCTACCGCATTGCACCGCACTGTACCGCACTCTACCGCATTGCACCGCACTGCACTGTACTGCCCCGCCCTTCTGCCGCCGCACCGACCCTGATGGCGGACTCGACGCTGCGCTTCGACGTGGAGGGCCAGCCGGTCGAGTTCGACACGTGGCTCATCGACCTCCGCCGTCACTGTCACAGGATCGAATGTCCCGAGGAAAGGTTTGCTCAATGTTTCCCTATCAATCAGTACAAGGTGCTTTTATACTTCCATAGTACATCAGGTAACCAGGTTTATCCTATCCAAAGGAAATAGACCCTTCTAGAAATAGAATCACCCTGCGTATAGCCACGCGAGGCTATTGGCTTTAAGGGATTACGGCAGGATTACGCTAGATATAGCACGCCAGTACATCCCCAGCCTGGTCGGTGATATAATTATAATAACAGGATAAACCAAAGGATAATGGAAAAGGAGGAATAGGAATCCAAATGAGATGAGATAAAGACCAAAGGAATCAGGATAGAAAGGGGAATGAAATAGAAAGGAAATATGGAAAGAGGAAATTGGTGTAACGGGGTCGTACTCTCACAGTCACCTCACTGGTCAGCGGCAGGACGGCCACTCCTTGGCCATCCACCTCGACGGTACGCTCCCCTGCCCTGACTCCCCCTGCTGCCCTGCCCGCTGACCCCTTGTCTGCTGACCGTGAGTCCGCTGCCGCTGCCGCCCTTGCCTTCTCATTCTGGCTGTCACACGACGCAGTCGCACAACTCGCGATCAGTCATGCCCTCCCCCTGTCTGAGCGCCCACGGTTTCGGTCTGTCAGGACTGCGCAGGAGTTCCTCGAGGCTGTTGTCGAGCACTCCTCCACCCCACCCACTGCCTCAGTCGGTCGTCTGATCCTGCCCATGCTCTTTCCCGACCTCGTGTCTTTCCCCACGATCGCTGACCTGGCCGCCCACCAGCGCATGCTAGATGCTACTTGGCGCGCTGCCTACACTGAGTCCCAGCTTCATGTCTTTCAGCCACCCATCTGCTCTACCCTCTACCTGCTTGCCACCCGCCTTCCTGACCGTCTTGCTACTGCCCGCGATCACTTCCTTAGTCTCCACCCCGCTGACCTCACCCTCACTGACTTTGTCGACACCCTGTCTGCCATAGAGACCCGCTAGCACTCTATCGCCCAGTCTAGCGGTACTGTGCCGGTAACTATCTTTCAGGGTTGTGCCCCCGCTCAGTGTACTTTCTCTGACGGTTCTGCTGCTGTCGCTGAGACAGCGCCTGCTGTGGCGACAGCCGCCGCAGCGCAGTTCCGTCCGGGGAAGGGTCGCCGCCCCAAGGATGGGTGCGGCGGTGGTAGTGGATGAGGGGGTGGAGGAGGTGGTAGAGCCAGGCCGCCCGCTGGTAGTACGGACGAGGGGACTGGGGGTGGTGCCTCCGAGCAGCAAGACCAGCAGCAGCAGCAGCAGCGGCGGGCTGATGGTCTCCCGCCCGGGTGGCCTGACGCTGGTGGTGGCGGTGGACGTGGTGGTCGTGCGCGCAGTGTGCCATCGGGTGGTAGTTCGGGTAACAGGCACTGTCATTACCAGCTCCAGACAGGTCCTCGCCGCGACTCTGTGTGCGGTAAGATTGGTCACAACCTCGCCCGCTGTTTTCGTCGCCTGGACGACCTGTTTCGTCTTCGCTTCGGCCTCTCGCCCGACCTCCCCGACTGGCACAGCTTACTTTGCCGTAGTGTTCAGATCTTTAAAATAGACATGGATGAGATTAGCTCTGCTTTGTATGTGCTGTATGTCGATGATTCTAGTGTGACTCGTTCCTACTACCCCTTGTTGCCTAGTGTAGGTGTGCCTAGTCCAGACTCCCCTGCTGCGTTAGGCATAGGATCCCCTGCCTTGTTTAGTCTTGGCTCCTCCCTTGCAACTCCGACCCCGGCCGCCACTGCTGTGCTCTCCTTTACCCTGGACTCTGGAGCTTCCCGGTGTTTCTTTCGCAACTCCACTACGCTGACGTCGTTTGCCGCTACTGCCGCAGTTTCCCTTGCCAACCCCTCCTCAGGTCTGGTAGTCGCCCGTAGCTCCACCACCCTTCTCTGTCCGGCCGTTCCTTCGGGCTCTCTTACAGGCCTGCACATCCCCTCGTTCTCTAGCAACCTAGTTGGTGTCCGTTGCCTCCAGGACCTTGGCATCACCACTACGTTTCCTGGTCACGAGCGGTACGTTGTCTGTACCGAGGCAGCCACTGGTGCTCCCCTCACCACGTTCCCACGGGACACGGTGTCTGGCCTGTTCACGCTGGACACCGCCCCCCCCCCAAGTTGGGACGTCTCCCCAGGTGGCTGCGTCTACCCAGGTTGCTGCGGCCTGCTCGTGTCGGTCGCTTACTCACCCGACACTTCTGTGGCACCACAGTCTAGGTCACCCCGCGCTCCCGCTTCTACGTCACATGTCTCAGCACGGTCTAGTCCTAGGTCTCCCAGAGTCGTTCCCTGAGTTGCCCTCCTCCCTAGCGCCGCCGTGCACGCCCTGCGTTGAGGGTCGGCTCCGCCGTGCCCCTCACTCCTCCTCGTTGCCCCCCACCGCCGCACTGCTACAGACCCTGCACATGGACGCCTGGGGCCCCTCCCCCGTCCATGGGTCACGTCGAGAGCGCTACTTCCTCGTGCTTGTCGACGAGTACACGTGATACACCACGGTTTTAGCCCTAGAGTGAAAGGCCAACGTGCCTGACGCTCTTATCCCGTGGCTAGTCTCTAAGCGTGTGCACCACCATCTCCCTATCTTGCGTCTTCACTCCGACCATGGTAGTGAGTTTGCCTCCGGCGTCCTTGGTCGTTTCTGTCGTGCGGAGGGCATCACCTAGACGTTCACCCTGCCGGACTCCCTGCAGCAAAATGGGGTCACTGATCGACGCATCGATTTGGTCATGGAGGTGACTCGTACCTCCATGATCCATGCCGGTGCACCCCATTTTCTGTGGCCATTCGCCGTTCGCTACGCCGCTCGCCAGCTTAACCTGTGGCCGCATCCCCAGCAGCCGCAGGTTTCGCCGACCCTTCTTTGGACCGGGTCCCCTGGTGACGCGTCTGCGTTCCGCGTCTGGGGCTGCCTTGCCCACGTTCGTGCCTTTGGCACGGACAAGCTCACTGCCCGCATTGTCCCCTGTGTCTTCCTCGGTTTCCCCCTCGACTCGTCTGACTGGCACTTCTACCACCCACTGTCTCACCGTTTCTTTCACTCTCGCGACGTCACCTTTGACGAGTCCGTCTCCTACTACCACCGCTTTCCCCATCGTGATCCCTCGGTTATTCCCCCCCTGTTCCTGGTTCCCCCTCCCCCAGTCACCCCTGCTCCTCTCCCTCCCCACCCTGCCCTGTCTCGTGTGTCTCACGTCACCCCCCTACTGTCGGTTGTCCTGGTCGAGGAGTCTGCTGACTCTAGTGTCCCTGCGGCGTAGTCCTCGCCACCTGTCCCTCCCCCGATGTCTCTTCCTCCGTCGTCACAGCAGCCGTCGGCGCAGCTACCACCGCCGCCGCAGCCGTCGTCGCAGCCGCACTTGTCGCAGCAGCAGCAGCAGCAGTTCGTCGACCCTGGGGGTGCAAGTGTTGAGGAGGGTGCTCGTCCTGGGGTTCCTATCGTGGCTTGTCTCGGCAGGCCTGGGGGTGGTACCGTTGCTGGAGAGGTTCCTGGTACTGGGGGTGCTGGAGTGGAGTGTTCCAGAGTTGGCCGTGGAGCAGCTGGCGGTCCCGGTGTCGCCGTCATGCCGCCGCAGCAGCAGTCACCACCGGTGTCAGCCCTTCGCCTGCTCGGCCTTCCGTCCACTGACCGCGCGCCTATGCCTCCTCCACCGTCTGCTCCCCTTCCTGTCTACGGCCCCGAGTTCCCTCCTCTGGACTCGTCTCTTGCTCGTCGTCCTCTGCGTTCTCCTCCTGTGTCTCCTCCTCTGTCTCCTGATCCGACACCTCCATCTCACGTCC